GCGGGAAATGTTGATCTCTGCGAGGCAGTCCAACACTTGGGGAGGGGCCGTTCCCTAAAGGAAAATGAATTTCTATTACTAGAATAAGAGAAAACAGATGTGGGACAGGGAATGACCCCACTACTGATATGATTATATAAGGCCATGAATGCCTAGGCTCTTTCCTACATTACCAGGGAGGATTCATTATATGGATATTCTGTAAGGAGCAAATAAAGCACATGCTGCTTCACAACCATGTAAATCTCCCCAGATTGGGAGATTGGGAGATATTTTCTGGGACTAGGGATTTTTACTTACAACTATCATTTGGTGGAACAGCGGCGATCTGCCTGGTTAGTATGGCTCTGTGATGCCTGGGGAGTATTCACAATGGACTGGAGGAAGCAGAGAATAATAACGGTTATTATTAATAATGAAATTGGAAAGATTTGGAAGTTCCTATGGAAATATACTCAGGTTTTGGTGACTAAACAGAAGTGAGGTTTGAGGGAGAAAGAAGGATGTCAGGGCAGCTGCAATTATCGCCTCGGGACCTAGAGAATGTGGACTCATTTGTGCCATTTGGACAGTCTTCGGGAGCATTTTCAAGGAGAGAAATATAGATTAAGCCTTAGTTTTAAAGAATTTTGTTTAACGTATATTTTAAGGTACACGGCATCATGTTTTGGCATATGAGTATGCATGTATGTATGTGTGTGTATGTGTATCTCTCTCTACATGTATAGATATATACACATATAATGGTTACTAAAGAGAAGCAAGTAATTCTGTCATTTTTCACATCTCTTCGGAGCCCTTTAATTTGTTTATTAAAATTATTTTATTTAAAAAATTGTGTTTGGATGTGCCTGGGTGGGTGTATTTGCATATGAGCACAGGTACCTGCTGAAGGCAGAGGCTTCAAGTTCATCTGGACCTGAAGTTACAGGTGGTTGACAGCTGCCCAACGTGAGTGCTGGGGACTGAACTTGGCTTAGCCAAGAGCCGTACATACTATGACCCACGGAGTCATCTCTTCCAGCCTTTTTTTTTTCTTTTTTTCTTTTTTTTTGGTTTTTCGAGACAGGGTTTCTCTGTGGTTTTGGAGCCTGTCCTGGAACTAGCTCTTGTAGACCAGGCTGGTCTCGAACTCACAGAGATCCGCCTGCCTCTGCCTCCTGAGTGCTGGGATTAAAGGCGTGCGCCACCACCACCAGGCCTCTTCCAGCCTTTTTATTGTTTGACGAGTACCTAAAATCTAGTCGTTTAGCTGGTTTTCAGTGAACAATACCATATTATTTATTTAGTGTTTATGTTGTGTATCAAATCCCTAAGTGTTTCTCATCTTATAGAACGCTGCTCTTTTTGACCTAGGCCTATCAGTACCTCTTCCTTCTATTCAATGGTACCTACCATTCTATTGGTTCTGAATAGCTGGCTTTCCTTCCTTCAGATTCTAGAATACAGCTGAGGTCCTCTGCAGTAGGTAGAGGGGCAAGTGTAGTGAACTTTCCAGTGGATGGCAGAGTATTTAGCCCAGGCAAGAAGTAAGGATCCCTGCAGACAGACTTTACCCCTCATGCAGCTCCGCATGAACTATGGAAGTTTGTAGCAAGGGTGCTGTGGAAATGAATTGCCAAGGTATGACCTGTGGCTAGAGAAGAGGGCCTGTGAATATAAGAAGGAGGAATGTTCTCATTCAGTCAGCAAAGGAGGAAGGCGGTGGATGAAGGGGAGAGCAGAGCAGGAAGGTGCAGGCTAAGAGCTCTCGAGAGGGTGTGTCCTCCCAGTTCCAGCTCTGCAGCAGTGAGGTGTGCTGACAGGAGAATCCAGCGGGATGAGAATGAGCAGTAGTGGGGTCTCCAGAGTTCTTAGCAAGTGCTCTGTTGACAGTGTAGGGAAGTTGGGTTGCGAGGGCTTGCAAGGCAAGGACAAAATTATTACCCGCATTCTGCCTCTACTGACTTTTCTATATGCCTGTCCTCTCCCTCCATCTTTTTCTCATCAGGATACTGTAGTTAGGACATAGATCCAGGACCAAGGATCTTTGAGCCCTAATGCCATTGCTTCTAAGCTGGAGAACTCTGGGCAATCACCTTAAGCTTTCGGTGCCTTCGTTTCCTCGTGTGTGAAAGGAGACAGTAACGTTATTCCTCCTGACGGGATTGCTGCGAGGGTTAAAATAGCACCCAACACATTACATTATTAAGAAATAATGTCACTTCATTTTTTTTATTTACTCATTTTCCTTCACCAATTTCTTTTCATGGGTGCTCTTCCTCTCAAAAATGTTAGAAAAGAAATGATGACCACCCTGTGTGTGTGTGTGTGGTGTATGTGTACATGTGTGTACATGTGTGTATGTGCATGTGCATATTTATACTTTTATCCTTTCACTAGCCAGTGAGATCCTTGAATATAGTTTTGCGCTTCATTTACGCTACGTTTATGTCCCCAGCAGCCAGAACAATAAAAAGCATAGTGAATACGATAGATGGGAGTCATGAAGAGCTTAGGTAGAAGGATGCATTTAAGGAAGGGAGAGAGATGTTGGTGCCTGGGTTCTTGAAGGAATGGAAGGTGAGTGGCAAACAAGAGGTGCTTCTGTTGGAATGGAGAGGAAGTGATCCCATCAGCCCCTGAACAGGCGAAGCGCACCTATGGAGCAGTAGAGACTGTGTGGAAGTGATGTCTGGATGCTCCAGTGTTTAAACTATTTTTAGGAAAGTCATAAAAAAAGGGCCACTGTAAAATGGATTTCCAAGTAGGAACATGGTTTTTTGCTGCTTGCACTTATTGCTCAATAGGTGTCGATTAAACAGACGAGTAAAAGAAATGAACCATTGATTGGTTTTGCATCATTTTGTTCTTCATATCAGAGAGGTAGAATTTACCAGGTTAAGAGGGAAGGCAAAAAAGAGTCTGTGGAACTAGGGAGTAGTAGTTCCTGGACACAGGAATAGTCTTGAAATGACTGAGCAGTGTCCGGATGGAGAGGTAGCTGATAGGGACAAAGGAAAGGGGTGGATATAGGGCTGTAAATTCAAAAACACATGGATGGCTAGTTCAATAGGCTAATAATCAGAGCCATTCCAGAGGGGCTTTGTTATTGTTGTTTATTTGAAACAGGGTCTCTGTCTGTCCTGACTGGTCTGGAGCTTGGAGTAATCCTCCTGCCTCTGCTCTTCAGTGATGGAATTAGAAGCATGAGCCACTCTGCCCCACCCCAGAGGAGATTTAAGGTGCTACGTATAGCACCTCTGCTTGACGATGAGATCCAAGGTGGGGTCCAATTGGGTGGCGAGAGAGAGAGAGAGAGAGAGAGAGAGAGAGAGAGAGAGAGAGAGAGAGAGAGAAAGAGAGAACACAGCCGAGAGCTGGTGAGTTGGGGGGCGTCCATAAATGGAGGCTGAGGAGCTGGAGAGAGTGATCAGCGTGGTGGGTAAGATGATGATTGAAGTGATTTGTGCTGCTCTACCCACTGGGCTGGGGAACACTACGGTTTCCTCGCGTTTTGATTCTCCCTGGATAGCTGTAGGCGTTATCTCTGCTTTTCACTACTGTGCGCTATTATTTGCACTGCAGGTCCTGTACCAACTTAAGGGACAAAGACAGACACACAGGTGATTGCTTTCAATTTTCAATATGGCTTTTTTTTTTCTTATTTGACTTAAAAACTGAGGATTGCGGTGAGCACTCGATATAGAAGAAACAGGGTACACAGAGATCGTAAAAGCAGAAATAATACTTAAAGCTGATTTCTTTGTTCTTTCGGTGTTATGACTTCTCCTGGGAGACATGAACAAATGTCTCTTCACCCTAGGTAGGGCACACATGGCAAACCAAAGAAGCTGGTCTATTTCCGTCTGTTATATTGAGCCCGTGAGTCTATTGGAGTCACTTACAGGAACATGAGTGAGGGGTTATTTACAGGAGTGTGGATGCTGCATCACCCACCAGAAAGCCCATCCTAGCATGGGTGACCACTAAAGAAAACTGCATCCCTGAAGCTCCCTGTTGCAAGGAGCCACTGCTTGTTCATTCTGGCCACCTGGGCTAGCTTTGACCCAAAATAATCACACAGAAACTATATTAATTAAAACACTACTTGGCCCACTAGCTCTACCTTCTTATTGGCTAACTCTTACACATTAATTTAACCCATCTCTATTAATCTGTATATCACCACAAGGTCATGGCCTACCGGCAAAGTTTCAGCATGTCATTCTTTGGTGGCGGATAGATGGCATCCCTCTGACTCCGCCCTTGTTTCTCCCAGCATTCAGTTCTGTCTTCCCTGACTACCTAAGTTCTGTCCTATCAACAGGCCAAGTAGTTTCTTTATTCATTAATGGTAATCCATTAATGGTAATCACAGCACACAGAGGGGACTCCCACATCAGCTCCCTGTACAACGTCCAGACAGGTCCAGTAGACGGCCCTCTCTCTGACTGCTTACTGCTGGGGAAAGGGTTTTGTGAACCTTGTAACTCTTGTGGGTTTCGTTAGCTTCTTGAGTGTCATGGACCTGCTCTTCTTTTCAGAAAAGACCAGTTCAGCTTGGAGGCAATAGCTGTATAACATTTGGTTTTGAAAGACAGGGACTCAGAGTGGAGTCTGAGATTGCCTGCTTTTCATTACCAAGCCCAGGCTGGCCTCAAACTCATAGTGATCCTCCCATGTCTGCCTCCCAAGTGTTGGGGTTGCAGGTCAGGTGTATTCTACTGCACCTGCCTGAAAGAATGAATTTTTAAGTGATATGTACTATGTCATATGTACTCTGCTCCAGCTTAGGAAGTCGTATAGTCTGCTTTCCATCGCTGAATTATGGTAGATAATTATAATTCATTCGCATGTCACAAGCCTGACCTTTATATACATATTTTATGTAGCACAGTGAAGCAGAATTCTGAACGTGTTGCTTTATGTATTCTTGTTCTGAGTTTTACTGCCTGTAGGATATGGATTTTAAATTTATTTATAGAGTGTTCTTTCTGTAATGTAGGACCATTTTTCCATGTCAGATGGGTAATATGCTGACATCAAAACAAGGTGTGAGAGAGGAAAGTCACAAAACGGTGTGGGCATCTATCTAATCATTGTTCTTATGAGTCCGCAAAGATCTGTAGTAGATAACATTCTCAGACTGCTCTGTATGGTAGACTAATCTGGTTTGCATTTGTATGTTAATCTGTATGTTAATTTAGAGCTAGAATTGCAAAGGAAGCATTAGGTTCCTAGTGTAATTTTCTGTGCGTTATCTGAGTGCTTAATTCTCTATTGGGAAAACTATATTTGAATGCCATGCCAGCACCGAAACTCAGATTTGTTAAAAGTAAGTCTTTCCTTGATGCTTTTCCCCAGTGTTCTAGTATTTCTCTCTTTCTCTCTCTTTCTCTCTCTTTCTCTCTCCTCCCTCTCTCTCTCTCACTCACACACACACACACACACATACACGCACACATGGGGAGTATGTATCTGTGTGTGTGTGTGTGTGTGTGTGTTAGGGATGAGGGTGGTCACAAACATGAGTCTCAAAGCTCTCTAAGGAAAAATGATGGGGCTGATTTTTTTTGTAATAATATTCATACATAAAAGATTTGATATTTTTCTATAGAGACACTGGTACAGCTGTGAAAATATAGCATTCTCTCCATATTGATGTTCCCAGGCTTGTGTCTTGTTTTCTCTAGTTAAAGTTTCTCAACGGAGATAAAACTTGGTCATGCACACTAGTTAGAGTGCAGGGATGTGGAGATAATCCCAGAGCCTTTAACGTTGTAGGCAGATATCCATAAGTGCAAAATGAGAAGGGTACTGATTGCTTGTGCTGGTGTTCCTGGAAGGTTTAAGGGGGCCCTTCCTTGGGCACAATGCATTACTGCGGAAATTAAGGTCCCCTCTTTGGGTTTAGTCTCGTTAATGTAAGAATTTAAAAATGGACTCAGGGGAACTCAAGAATGATTTTTATTAGAGTTGGGAAGTAAACAGAAGGGCAGGCAAGCTGTAAACTGTGGCAGATGTAGATGTGTGTTGAGGGGGATTGGGAGAGGAATCTGCAGGGGGAGAAGGGAGGAAGCCAGTCATGGCTTCTGAGTTAGGCTAGCATGTTCAGCAGTGGAGGTCAGCAAGCAGCCATGTGGCAGCAAGCACCTCTGTAGTGAAAGGGGAAGAGAGCTTGAAGGGCTAGAGAAAACATGCTTCAGTGTTGGCCAGTGTCTGAAAGAAAGATGGGAAAGAAAAAGTTACGCTCTTTTGAGTAAGGATGAAGAAAATTGGATGGAGTTAACAGAGGTTCATGGCCATTTCTTCCCAAGGTTTTGTAAGTGATTTTTGGTGTCATCTTAATCTAAACTACCCAGAAAATTTTTACCTTTTATCCCTTATCACCAGGACTGTTGTAGCTGCACTAAACTCTCTTACACATGTGTGTGCGCACATGTGCGTGAGGGTGCGTGTGCGTTTGTGTGTGTTGGGGATGGAAGTGACAGTAAGCCTAAATTTCAACGCTTTCTAAGAAAGAGAAATGGTAGACTACTTAGGATTTGCTACAGAAACCTTGAAAATGCTATGCTAAATGAGACAATCAAACTATTCTGTTTATGCAAAATTCACATTTACAAATCTGTTGAAGCAGAAGGGAAAAGCTGATGAGGAATGCTAATCAAAATGCCTTCTAATTGATTGCTATATGTCCTCCTCCTATTTTCTGAGAGAGGGTCACCTATCCCAGTCTGACCTCAAACCTTGTCGCACAGGGTGATCCTGAACTCCAGATCCTCTGGACGCTATCTCCCAAGTGCTGGGATTTACAGTCATTTGACACTATGTATAGCGTATTTTTTTTCAATATCTCTGGATCAAACCACTGGATAGTTAGGGTATCTATTGCTGAGATAAAAGCCAGTAGCCAGAAGCAGCGTGGGGAGGAAAGGGTTTAATATGGCTCTCAGGTCACACTTTACTGCTGAGGTTAATCACTGCAGGAACCTGGAGGCAGAAGCTGAAGTATACGCCATAGAGGAACAGTGCTCACTGGCCTGCTTCTTATGGCTTCCTCAGTCCACTTTTCTTGTAAAACTCAGGACTGCCTGCTGAGGGGCATACTGCCCACACTTCTACATCAACCATTAGCCAAGAAAATACCCTATAGACTTGCCTACAGGACAATCTGATGAAGGCATTCTTTCAATTAAGATTCCGTCTTCTTGCCAGGTATGTCTAAGTAGACAGCAACAACAACAACAACAACAACAACAACAGAAACAATAACAACAACAGCAACAACAACAAAAGCCCAACAAGGACAGTATATTTATGTGAGTGTATTGTGTGACAGATGGCGTCTATCTATCAGTACCTATTTGTCAGCCATTCTAGTAGGCATAACGCTGTTCCATTTACTTGTTCAAGTTAAGTTTACTTTAGATTGGGGGAGGCAAACTATAAACTGCAGGGACATAAGGAAAATAACCTGTAAGTGCTGTTGGAAAGCAAAATGCATCAGTAGGTTTAAAAAGTGAGCGTCTTTGGGACAGCTGGTCAGACAGGTTCATGCAGGAGGAAGGGGTGAATTGAGTACCTGAATGTTAGGAGGGAGCTATCCATAAGGCTGCCTGCAGTGAGGTGGGGTCCATGCAGAGGAGATTGCACATGGAACCACCCCAAGGAGGAGGCCAGCTGGTGTAAGTGGACCAAACCTAACAAGGAAGCTGTGGTGGAGCTTGAGATGGCTGTTAATGCTTCTTTGTTCTGAAGTCACCAGTAGCTGTGGTACCTGATATGTCAAGACAAGTGTGTTCGGCTTTTCCTGATTTTCTTGTCTTGAAATACTTGCACCATTTGTCCTTCCTAACCACCTTATAAGAAAGCCAGACTGAGCATCGCTCCCTAGATGCGCCCCCCCCCCACTTTCCTGCCTCTGTACCTGTCTTTATACTCAGACTGTTCATCTGACCGTTGCTTCTGGAAATTATATGTCATCTCAAAGTCACTTTTTTTTATCTACCCTGGAAGTATAGTTAAAAATAATGTATAGGCAAAATTGCCGTGAGCTTTCTAACTAATCTGTCCCTATTGTGCTTCTCTTCGGGGATTTAGCACGGTGAGTTCTAATTCCTCCGTGTCGCTCTCATGGGGACCCAATTATGACTCCATAGTGGGCTGCATGGTGTCTCACTTCATAGAGACAGTCATTATATTGGTTGAATCCTAAAACATTTACAGGCATGCGATTTGTGCAAAATAAATCTGAACACGAGAGAAAATTTATAAAAAAAAATCTATACCCCAGCCCATGAGGAACGCTAGTTAGGCTATAATATATTTGATAAAGGCGTGGAGTAAAAATCAGTGATGTGGGACTTTAAAACTCAGGCTTTCTGGGAAATGCCCAACGCTTTTCTCTTACTGTTTCCGACCTTGGCGTCATCCTCAGGGTCATTCTGTCTGATTTTTTGACTCTTGGGAGTATGACAGTATCTGAGTCCTGAGAGCCAGGTCCCAGTTCGCCCGAGGAACAGGCTTGCTTCTCCATGAATCTCAGTGAGTCCCAAGAGCCTGCTAGCTCTGATAATTGTCCTGAAAATGGCAGTGGAGTTTTGCATCTACTGGAGCCATACAAACTAGCACAGAATCTTCCTAGTAAAGAATGGGCTGGTGGTAAGAAATCAGTTTCAGGTCACAAGCAGACCCCTGTTTGTGCAGAAACAGCAGAACGGTGAAGATATGCAGATCCAGCATATTCCAAGGTCCCCGAAGCTCACTGAAAGATAAGCGGTGAGATCTTGTGATGGTCCTAAACACAGGGCAGGGCCAACCAGGATTGGCCATTTTGAAGGCCAAAACTCTGAAGTTAAATCTGCCTGAGAGGGAGGATTGGATTGCAGACTCCAGAACAAACAGACATAAATTAGCCCTGTAGCTTAGACCTTAAGGAGTGGCTTCTGAAATATCCTGGGAGATAGGAAACAAACTCAGGACAAACAGAACAAACATTCGTTGGGAGTTAACTCCCTTTAATTACAGAAAGAACATTCTCTTGGTTGAGTGACATGGCCAGATGCCAGTCCCTCGACTGAGATGGGTCTCCCCATTTGACCTACCCAGGGGTGTTAAGTTCCAAGGCCCCAAATGTCCAGGCCTTCGGGCTCAGGCAGAGAGAAGGAAAAATGAGTGGCTTTCCGGGTTCTCCAAAAGAGAGATAGGAGTGAGTTTTCTCATGGGATGTGTGAGTTAAGAGTAGAACCATTTCTTCCTCTGATGTCTGAAGATTCTTTCACTCTGTTCAGACTTTTGTCAGCCTTACCCTGGCCCAGTCTCCTCTCCCAGTGAGAGCTGATGTTTCCACCTCTCCTGTCCATTCAGTATTCACAATGTCATTCACCCTAGTTTTTCCTTCTTCGCACATGGACTGCCATGTCCATTTTCAGTGTCTGAACGCTGTCAGGCTCAGATCCTGCCTCTTTGCAAGGACCACATCCATGGATTCAATTATCGGTGGCTAAAACCTCTTGTTTTTAAACTATTACCAAACCTTGCATGGTTTTAATTGGCATCTGACATTTTTATCATGAAGGCAAGCTGTCTTTTTTGTTTTCTTTCTTTCTGTTATTTTTTTCTTCCGTGTGTGTGTGTGTGTGTGTGTGTGTGTGTGTCTGTACAGTAGTACGGGTTATGAACCCAGGGCATTGTCTATCTGGACGAGCATACTATCACTAAGCTATATCTTTTGAGACAGGATCTCACTAAGCAGCTCAAGCTGGCCTTGAATTCATTCTATACCCATGGAAGATCTTGAACTTGTGAGCCTCCTGCCTCATCCTCCTGAGGTCTCTCGTCTAGCTGGTAATTTCTTTAAAGCCAGGATTTCTGTCTGGCCTATCTTCAAATGCCATATGGAACTCAGAAGGGTGCCCAGAAGTTAAAATGGCCTCAGCAATGCGTTCTGAAGTGGGTAGATGATAAATCAGGGAGTCAGAAGGACTACCGCAGCCATCGCTCCCTACGGTGTGAGAACTTACTGCTTTTCCCAGAGTTACGTGTGCACAGGCGGCTTCAGTTGGCACATGAAGTGTGAGCAGAAGTGACACCTGTCCCTTCATTACCAGTCAGTGGGTGACTC